TTTTTATTTTTATTTTTTTTTTCTTTCGTTTCTTTTGGAGGTAGGTTGTGATGCCCAACCTCATGACCAGCGCTACTTCCTGATCGGAGTGAGATGGGGGACTCGGAAGTGCGAAAAGAGGGTGTGCCAAGGATCTTAGGAAAGTGGGGGTGAAGTCCCAAGTCGGAACTGAGATCTCATGTGGCGAGTCTTAGGGGCAGTTGTGCAAGATGGTAGGCACAAGGCGCGTCTGACCTTTACGTCGTGGAAAATAGAGTTACCATCTTCGCTGGCTCCGTCGTCGGGGGCGGATGCGAATTTGGTGGACCGGCAGAACGCTATGCGTGTCGCGCTGCCTGAACAGTTGTTTGCGTCGCTCGTAGCAAGCCTCGGAATCTGACGAGGCTGGCCTCAGGCGGAGGCTGTGTGAGCGTTGCTCGGCTTCGGTTCGGGCTCGTCGGATAAATCCTGAGGCTCAATACGCGCGATCTCGTTGGCACTCCGCGCATGGCGTGCGAGGCCAATAACGAGCTATGGAATTCCACGGTACTACTGTGAGCTAATGATACGGAAGGAGAAGATAAAAAGAAGGGAAATCGGTATTGATAGCGACGAAACCCGAAGATATATAACATTGGGTATTACTGGTGTTGGGATAGTCCGGGATCCTAGGATCCCTTCCTGTTGCCCACTGAAAGTCCCCCTCACACAGTCGATCGTTTTCAGTCTGACAGGGATATTCAAGATTTTTCAGGTTCCCCCGTCGTCTAAGTTGTTCCCAGTATTCGCGGTATTCCGGATTCCTTAAGCTCTCACGATCGGTGACCCAAAAGGGCACTTCTATAGCCATCTCCTAATTGGCGGACACATATTTCTTATGGTGAAGCAAGGCCGAGGTCGACTCATGCAGACGCGCTCATATATCGTGACTCCACTTTTTTTTATCGTTGTAATACGAGGGCTCGCGCATGAGCGGGAATGACTCGGATCTTGTCCTCCCTCGTACGGGTCCGTGGTGAGCGGTCCTCAGTTATTGGCGTATTGATCCTATCCCGCATGCATGCAACTACTTTTTTTGCAGACATCGTCATTCCGGGTGGGATCCAACCATTACACGCATATCCATGCCATTGGTTAACGAAAGAAAGGAAAAGGAGCAACTGCTTTGGCGTCGAGGACCAACACATCACAACATACACCAGAATCAAAGGCTGGCAATCGAACAAAGCATGCACGATGAGCATATCCAACTAGATCCGGAGTTATCGCGCAGCGGGATATTAGAAAGGGACAAAATTTGGATTATCACCACTAAGCAAAACAAAGAAAATGGGAAACTTAAGAGACCACTTGAGAAGGGGTGGGGAAGGGCGCAAGTTCATTCCACAACACACAAGAAACAGAAAATCAACGACGAATCACTGGGACATCCAAAATTGCCGCAACAAAATTGGCCAGCGTTGGAATCAAAAGTTATACAGAAGGTTGGAAGAAAGGCACCATCCCACGCACATTTTCTCTCTCGCTCTCTCCTTCTCTCTCCACACCACTCCCAATGCGGGCAGTCCGTCGCCTCGCATCAATACAGAGTTGTCACCGCGCTTGGTGCGATTATCCAAGCCAGGTTCGCCCGTGCGCCACAGTCTGTCGCGGCCCACACGTCAAACCCGCATACTCGGCACCAGCTCGTCGGATTGCCCAACTCTCTCGTCTACTCACCTCCTAAGCTGACTCGTTAGCCGATCCTCACTGACCGCGCTAACTCCAAAATTTCATAGAGAGCAAACTAATCACGCTTGTGAAGTTCATAGCGTGCATGCTTGCGCGAGAAAACCGAGATTATGCCTAAGTAAGAGGAAGGGAAAGAGAAGGAAGTGCCTATATCTGCATGGCCAAGCCGTGGCATGGGGGACGCATCCACACTCCATGCACCGATCCGGTCATGCATTCGCTCAGACCAACTGGAATGGAGGACGAGGTATGCATGACAAAGAGGGAGAAGGCGGGGAAACACGAAAGAATCAATAAGGAGTACAGTTACAATCGCCCCCGCCAAAAAATTATAGTTACACGCAGGATTAAGGGCGCAATACAGTCAGAGCCCAGTCCCCACTGTGGTGAGAGGTGCGCAAGCAAGAAGCACGGCGCAACAAGATTTCAGAGTACCTAAATTCCTATTCTAAATCCTATTTGCAAAAAGAAATTCCGAAAAGACAGAAAAACAATTCTGAGGGCCCGTGGGGGCTCGAGATCAGTTATAAATTTGAAAAACGACATTCCCGCACGCTTATTGCGCCAAAATTACCATCTCCCACAACAGAACAAGAAAGAAGCTATGGCAACCGTTATTTATCGCGCTCGCTAAGGCGCGGTCACCCAATCGTCTGCGCAGGACTTTCTCGGCGCCGGTCCCGAAAGCCAAAAAGAAAGAAGCAAGGGTATCCATGCAACTTGCCCAGCCGACCCATACCCATGCACTCCACGCGACCAACCAGTCCCCAACCCCCGAAGCCGCTTCCCGCAGAAAGTCGCGCGATTACAGAAAATAGTTAGTCACATAGATCCGGTAAGCCCACAACCGGTAGCTCCAGCCTCGGCACAGGTCGGCAGACTGGTAGGCCGAGGCTCGGACTTGATAGCTGGGCCAAGTACTGGTGGTTTAAAGCACCAGTACACCACACATCGGCCCGCGGGTGTCAGCACGAAACCCGCACCACTTCAGAGGCCGCCGATTTTTTTTTTCAAAGGCGCCCCACGCCGCGCGGCCCGTCCAAGTTTTGCTTGTGGCGACAAAAACTTTCTGCAAGGCTGGGGCTGTGTACTTGCGGTTTGAACCACCTGTACCTTTCCTATCTATCAACTCCAACCTTGGAGCTACGTGTTACATCTTCGACGCACACGGGTCCTACCGGACCCGACTTAGGGCCACAGGAACACATCACGGCCTAAAGGCCCGGCCTTGGGGGTACTATAGGCCATAAAGGCCTCACCTTGGACCAGACCCGACGGGCAGGCCCAAACGACATTACCGTTTGGGCCTGGCGGCGCTCTTGAGGCTGCCGCCCGCCGGTTGGGGCTGAACCGTCCATCTGGACGGTTCAGGGCACGGCCAGGCCTCGTAGCATTGAGGCCGGCCTCGGCCCCACCAGTATATAGAACCGGTCCAGCCAGAGTCCAGGATCGACCTACCGGCATTCTACCGGTACGGTATGGTACAGCGCAACACAGCGCTGGCGCTAAGATTAGCGCAGGAGCAGCGAGGATCAGCGCAGCGCAGATTAGCGCAGCAGCAGCGAGCGGAGCAGCAGCCGCGGCGACTGGGTTACCGGCGGCCATAGCCGCCTGAGGTATTGGGAGTTGGAGGCTTCTCTCCTCCCTCCCATCGCCAGTCCCCTCTCTCTCTCTCTCCTCCTCGGCTTCTTCTTCTTCTTCTTCTTCTTCTTCTTCTTCTTCTTCTTCTTCAGATGGAAAACTTATGCTAGTTGGACAAAGATCAGAGTTGGACTTCGGTGGTATGAGACTGTGGTACTTACCAGATTGGAGACTTGGAGATCGTTGGGGTTGATACTTGRCGACATCACAGTTCAGACACCGGTTACATTTGGACTCTGTATCCCCGACATTGGTGACCTATGGTCCTCGACATTTTGATCTTGTTGGACGACATTTTGGACTACCATATCGGTGACCTATAAGATTCTACCTCAGTGACTTTCGGTGCTGTCTACCTCCCCCCACCTCTTCGTCTCTCCTCCCCTATTCATCTGTGTATGTGTGTATGGGGCTGAGCATCTTCTATGTATGGCTCAGACCCCACCATCTCACGATTGAATGTGTGTGGAGTGATGCTATGWGAGTCAGTCTATGTGAGTCAGTCCGTTTATCAGACTTCCATTGCATCTATACTCATCCTACATTGGTTGATTCTTGGTTCTGCCCATACTCATTGGAGTATGCAACAGTTTTGGTATCGGAGCAGACCATAAAACGGATCTGCTCACAAAGGTAAGTCTGGTTAGGAATTAGATTGTTCTTCAATCTTCCCAATCAGCGCTGAATTACTATCGAGTTCAAAGTTGCAAATTTTTTTCTTTTTCGGTATTCTATTTAGTTCAGCATTTTCGTTCAATTCGGTATTTGGATTTATAATTCGGATTTCTGTTTTCTTCCGGTATGCCGCTATTTGAGTTCTGATTGAGTAATACTAATCCGATAATTGATTAAGTTTCGGATTTCTGAGGTTACACGAATTAGGGTTGAATCAATATCATGTTGAAATTCGGCGTTTCTGATKTCCATTCAGCATTCCGTTTTCGGCATTTTTGCTGTAAATCCTATATTTCGTTGTCTTTTGGATTTCCGTTGTCTTTCAGTATTGGAAATTAGGGTTACGAGAATCTTGGGGTTTTAGATCAACTTGGGGAAATTCGGACGTTTTGGGGCCGTAAATCCGAAAATTTCGCCGAAACGCGAAAAATTAGGGTTGGGACCGAAATTTTCGCGAATTTTTTTTTCGTTCTCCTTGTTTGAGAAATTTCGAAAATAGGTTTAGGCTTTTAAAAATCGGATTTTGACGGTGGAAATTCTCGAAAATTCGCGTTTTTGAAAATTCAAGCGTTTTTTCTTATGAAATTTTTCGAATTTTTTTTAGCACACTAAGCCGTATCTGACCCTCAAACTGCAACTTCCGGGTAGTTCACTCAGTAACGGTGAACTCCCGGACTCAAAGTGATCTCCAAGAGACCTAATCATAATACCTTCCAAATTCGTTTATTAATTGGTTATCTTTATTACAAACATTGTTTTACTGATTATCATTAATTGGTTATCTTTATTACAAACATTGTTTTACTGATTATCATTCAGATTTGTTTCGTTAATTATCATTAATTAATTTTATTGATTAAATCGTTATTAATTCCTTATTACGAATTTTTTGAAGGGTTTACGAGAAATTTATGTTTTCCTGTTTGATTAGGTGTCTACAGTCCATCWGTGGGACAGGGGATTGTATGTATATTGCTTGATTGTTCTACCCCTATTCCCACTCTACCTACCCCCCCTGTAGTCTGTGAACACCGGCACCTCTCAAGTACCGCATCAGTTCAGACTGATGTCGATGGAACAGGACACCGGGGCACTGCCACGGCGCAGTGCCAGGATCGCAGTTCGTGCCCGCCCTGCGGTACCTCCAAGACCCAAGAGATTCAGCAGACGGACGACTCCAACGGCATCAAGTACGGCGTTGACAGTACAAGACACCACCGGAGATCTTCTCGCATGCCCGGTGCGAGAGGCCAGCGAGCCTTGGGCTGACTATCGTGGGTGGCTACAGGCATTTACAGACGCCGTAGCCGCCGCCGAGGCTCAGCAGGCTGCGGCAGAGGCAGAACGTCAACGCCTGGCAAAAGAGACGGCAGTCGAGGCTCAGCGGACAGCTGAGACTGACGAAGAGGCACGAAACAGACGGAATGTCGCCAGCACGGAGTCCCTGATTGCTAGTGAGCATCAGTGGACAACGTTACTCCAAGGCATGATCTTTGTGCCTACGGAAACGCAGGCGGAACCGGCACAGGCGGAGGCAGAGAGAAGTAACCTGGCTACCGTGATGTTGAACGTAATGAGGGGAGTAATGTGGAACAACAAACTACTGCAGGCACACCTGCACACGGAACGACARCAAAGACATCARTACCAGCAAGACCTGGCCGCTGTAACGGCCGGCGTCCGCGACGCAGCAATGCAGCAGCAGCAACAGCAACAGCTGATGAACTCTACCATCGCACGCATCAACGGCATTGAGGCCAAGGCCTCAGCAGCGCCAGGCTGCACGACARACGCGACGAAGCAAATCAACGAACGCATCGATCACGTCGTCACCATCATCGGCGACATAGGTGTTTTCAACGGACCGGACACGATCAGCAGCACGGTGGCCGCCATCAAGACAGACATCACCAAGCTACAGACGAGACCGGACGCCGCTACAAAGATGTTCACGATGCCGCACTTCGACATCTGCAAGTTCGACGACTACAACAAGTCGGACGCTTTGACATGGTGGCAACGTTTCCTCACGGAAGCGTCATGCCGCACTGTCCCGGCGAACGACATGTTGAAGGCACTCTATTTGCAACTGATTGGAGGAGCGCAGGCATGGATGAACCACTTGGCAGCCACCCACAAGTGCACCATCGCCGAACTCCACACGCACATCACGTGGCAGGAGTACGAGAGCTTAGGGTTCACCCGGTTCATGGTCCACAACGTCGTGAAGGCGGCCATGAATGAGGTGTACACATGCTCTCAGGGGAACATGCCAACTCAAGACTGGACAACGAAGTGGCAAAAGATAGTGACCACACCAGGCTTCGACTTGACATTTCCAAATCAACGATCCGAGTTCTTCTCACGATCATGCGCGGGATTGCGGTCGGCACTCGGTAATGAGTACGACTATACCACATTCCAGGGCATTCTGGATCGAGCGAACTTGGTCATCCAAA